TGACGGCGATCCGCGGTGCGGCCTCGGTCGTCATTCGCTGCGGCGGCTAGCCTCGCGCTCGACCCGTCCGCGCGGTTGGAGCACAGGCTGAAGGCATGACCGCGGCCGTCGGGGCCGCTATCATCGGCCGGCCTAACAGGAGTGGGATCGTGACGGAGCCGTTTGAAGTCATCACTGTCGAAACCGACCGCGTCGCCTGCGATGGCGGCGGCGGTGCGCTGGGCCATCCCAAGGTCTATCTCAACCTCGGCGCAGAAGGACATGTCGAGTGCCCTTACTGCAGCCGGCTCTACAAGTTGCGTGAAGGCGCCCATCCCGCGCACGCCCACTGAAGGAACGGTGCCGTGAAACAGCTCGGTGAAGGCTGGAACTGGCGCGACCTCAAGGTCGGCGACACGTTCGTCACCTACGGCCGCACGATCTTCGAGGCCGATCTCCTGAACTTCGTGACCCTCTGCGGCTTCTCGGAGGAACTGTTCACCAACCGGGAATACATCCAGGAGCATGCCCCCATGCGCGGCGGCCATCCTGTGCCCGGCGCGCTTGTCTATTCCATGGCCGAGGGGCTGGTGATCCCGACCACGCTTCAGGGCTCCGGACTGGCTTTCCTCTCGATGGGCTTCGACATCAAGGGCCCGACCTACGTCAACGACACGATCCACGTCGAGATCGAGATCACCGAGATCAAGCCGACCTCCAAGGATCCGTTGCGGGCTCTCGTGCGGACCGCCAACCTGATCAAGAACCAGAAGGGCGAGACGGTGCTGGTCTACACGCCGTTGCGCATGATGCAGGGTCGGTAAATGGCCAAAGTCGCGGTCGAGAAGGTCGGCGCGACAACGGTCGTCTCGATCGACCGCTTCGCCGAGGCGCGCAACGCCGTCGATCCCGAGACCGCGATCCTGCTGCGCGAGGCCTTCTTCGCCTTCAATGCCGACGATACCCAGTCGGTCGCCATCCTGACCGGGCGCGGTGGCACCTTTTGCGCAGGCTACGACCTCAAGGTAGCGGCCAGCCGTGAAGGCGTCGCCCAGCACGATCCGGCCGGGCCGGGCCCGATGGGGCCGACACGCCATCTTCTGTCGAAGCCGGTGATCGCCGCGGTCGAGGGCTACGCCGTGGCGGGCGGCCTCGAAC